GATTACATGCAATCAATAAAACAAGGATTGTACATAGAACAATATCGGACCTCTGAAAAGTACAAGCATGCATATGTACTCAGTACTTGGTTTGGGCCCCTTTTGCAGCACTTACTGCAATTACTTTTGCACGATATTCTAATTATTCGAGTTTCACCTGTATATATAAATAAAACAAGTGTCTAAGTGATGCAGTGATGCATAAACTTCCCCAATCTCACAAATTCAAGATCTACACCCCATATAAATAACAACATAATAATATTGATAATTATGTTATCCTTCACAATGTCCCAAACTCGTGTGTCAATCCCCAAACTGATGCTCCAATGAATGTTAATTTGTTCCAGCGACTCTTGTATGAACATTTAGGTATTAAACTCGCCAGAAATGGTACACCACAAATCAAATGGTCCAATAGCACTTTTTTCAATCATTCGTTCCCCCAACATATAACAGGTCATCCACCTCAAAGATATCCTTTCACTTATTCTGCAAATACAATTCTTCTTGCAGTAGTGCTCAGGAGAAATATAAAAGACTACATAGTGTGAAATCCTTAAAACATCCTAAAAAAACAACAACTTGTATAAGAAGCTTTTCCATAGCGCTGTACAACAAACAATACATTTCACTCACACGTCCAAGCCACAGTCTTACTTTCTCCTTCAGTTCCCTCGTCTGCTGATTGACAGCAGGCGGGTGAAATAGCCAACCTGCTATTGCCATTTAAAATAGCCAATAGCAAGCCGGCTATTGCTCCCAGCCACTGTCTGTGTTTACATTCAGCTGCCTCAGTAGATAGCGGTCATTCCCCTTTGAAGTGGAAAGGTGACACTAGGGGACCCCTAGAGAACCTGTCATCTCCAATATGAAAGCAATGAAAAAGAAAAAAAAAAGAAAAAAAAGCCCAAACTAAAGAAATAAAATTAAAAAAAGCCCCCCAAAAGTTTAAAGAACCCCGACCCAGCACATACTAACAGAAACACAAATCGAGTGCATCTACATACGAAATCGTCATTATGTGCTACACATGTCAGGTATGGCTGTGTGCTCCAGAGTAAGAGCAATAATTCTGGGGCCATAATATACAGGTGAAACTCGAATAATTAGAATATCGTGCAAAAGTTCATTTATTTCACTAATGCAACTTAAAAGGTGAAACTAATATGAGATAAGACTCATTACATGCAAAGCAAGATAGTTCAAGCCGTGATTTTTGTCATAATTGTGATTATGGCTTACAGCTCATGAAAACCGCAAATCCACAATCTCAGAAAATTAGAATATTACATGCAATCAATAAAACAAGGATTGTGCATAGAACAATCCAGTACTTGGTTTGGGCCTTTTTGCAGCAATTACTGCCTCAATGCGGCGTGGCATGGAAGCTATCAGCCTGTGGAACTGCTGAGGTGTTATGGAAGTGATCGGGCGATGTTATTCAAGTAATCGGGCGTCTCTAGAGACGCTCGATTGCTTGTATCAGCAGCTGTCACTGCCGCTGCCGGTCCCGAGATCCGCTGTGCCCCATGCGGCCGGGACGGCTCTGTGACAGGAGATCAAAGGGAGTTCAGTATACGAACTGTCTTTGATCTCCTCTGTCCCCGAATGCAGGAAGTGATGTATATTACATCACTTCCTGCATTCAGTGTCACTCTCCAGCTAGAGAAGCTGATGAAGCCGATCTCTTCCTCATCAGCTTCCCTGGGGGTCCCTAGGTGACATTAGGGGTCTTGGAGACCCCTGATGTCTCCATAAAGAGGACCTGTCATGTAAATTGGCTATCCCATAGGGGGCTTCTTAGCCCCCAATGTAATAGACAAAGTTGTGTGTAAAAAAAAAATAAAAAAATAATAATACACAAATTAAAGAATCATAAAAATAAATGAAGCATAACATTTTTTTTTTCTTTAAGTCCCCGCCCCCCCACATACACACACAGATATGCATCGGGTGCGCCTACGTGCAAAGACGATTGCGCCTATTGGTTCAGAGCATCTCCACGGTTCAGAGCATCTCCAGCATCCGAAGCCCTCTCCCCATATATGCGAGCCAGCCTCAACGGAGTATAGTAGATCCTGTGTAAGATTTTAAATTGAATTAGTCTGTCTCTGGCCGAGACCAGGTGAGAGAAGCGTCCCATGCGTCCTCCCACTCATCATTTAGTGTGGGTATATCAGTGAGCCAGGGAGTTTTGCACTTTAGCGTTTGTACAGAGGAGGCATGAAACAGTAGTTTATATACCTCGGATAGTGGTTTACAGAGAGGATCTCTCCTAAGTAGTATTTCCAGTCTGGACTTCCGCACCACGCAGGTCAAGCCTCCAAACTGGCCCCAGAACGCATGTCTCAACTGAAGATAGCGGAACAGGTAGGTGTTTGGAATATTAAATTTCACCTTCAGTTGCGGGAATGACCGGAGCGAATTGTCAGAGGTGAGATCTTCTAGAGTCTTAATTCCCCTCCTAGGCCAAACATGAAAGTCCGGGATGCCCTCAAGATGAGGGAGCATCGGGTTACAATCCTAGGTGATTTTCCAAATATTACATCTAGTCACATCCTTCTTGAGTGAACACGCATTCCAGCTATTACAGTGAAATTCTGCTGATAGTTCAGCATGCTCATACTCTGGCAGTCCATGAAACCATCCTAAGTTAGGCTCTGATCAGATTAGAAGCGATCGCCAAGGGGGAAAGCCAAAGTGGTCTAGTGCTAGCTGAGGCAGACTATACCTCTATCCTCCCTCTTGGCATCCCAAGTTGACAGGACAACTCCTTGGTGTCTCAAGTTGCCAGAATCAATTCAACTGGTGACATTGGACTTATTGGCTGCTAAGAGTCTTCCATCAGGGTTCTTCAGACAAAAGAGAAAACGTTTCCTGTGGCTTTGGTTCTGGATGATTCCAAATATGAGATTCTTGGTTGTGGCTGAAGGCGGCAAGCCTATTTCAGCTGTTATTAACACGATCACTGGATAGGGACATAGATAAGAGATTCCTATGTGCAAATCACTTCAACAGCCCTTTGGTTAAAGGTCAGTGACAGTCCATCAAGAGGAAAATGTCTTCAGCATCTTGGAGTTCGAGAGCCTTTCAGATCCAAGGAACCTCCGTATTAGTTCAATGAACTGAATGATGTTTTTTCCATAGATGTAGTGTCTGCCCATAGGTGTGGGAACTGCTCACTGCTGATGGAGGTACCTCCAAAAAAAAAAAGAAGGGGATTCGGTAATGAACTCCCCAGCGTTTCCTGGCTGACACTATGAGCCACAAAGAACAATGCACTGCAGAATACCATCAGCTGTAGATGACTACAAATCGCAGTAATAACACATTACATACCGTACAATGCAGAATGGCACCGGCTATAGAAGAAGACAGCAAATCCCAGCAATACAATATACATACAGTGTACAATGTATTGCTGGGATATGTGGTCCTCTATAGCTGATGGTACATATACAGCGCAATATACCATCAGCTATAGAGGAATACAACAAATCCCAGCAATACATTTTTACAGCATGTGGGGGGGGGGGTGCAGGTAGTCTTACCTGCACACTCTTTAAGCAACTTTCTTCCGAGATCTTGGGACTGTCGGCAGCTGCCGTTCCCCCACACTGCGGTCTACCTGCAACGACGTGATCATCTTGGCGGGCAGCGGCGGGAGAGAGCTCAGAGCTGGGAGAGGCGGGGAGCAGGTGCGGCGTAAAGCGTGTGGTGCGCGTGGAGCCGCAAAACAGGGGCAACTAATCGAAAGCTAACTAATCGATGATGATGGAAAATGTTGACAACATTTTCCATCATCGATTTTGCAGCACTGACAGTTTTTGCAGCCCCGGTCCCATCAGTCTCTGTACAGAGGAGCTTACACTATAATGCCCCCCGTCACATCAGTCTCTGTACATAGCAGCTTACACTTCGTAACCAACTGGACGCAGGGCTTCGTGACCCACTGGACACTAGACATGTGCACCGGCAAAAAATTGTTTCGTTTCATGTTGTTTTGAGTCGGATTTTGCGTTATTTTGGGATTCGGACTAAATTCGTTAGCGGTATTCGGTACGAATGTTAATTTCCGTT